TTTCTACAGCATCACTTCTTCTCGTGAATACGTCGAATGGTCGAGTCACAATCCCTTCATTGTTGAAAGCCAATTCACGTGGAGTAACTCCAAAATCCCTTTGCATATCTGAAAATCCGAAGAAAATGGGACAAAATCCAAAATCTGTGTTTCTGTTTGCGCGTTATTTCCTGGAATCGTCTCAAAAATAATAGAGAAATATCCATTTTGAACGTTCCTTGAGTAAAATGGCAATTCTTCAAGAGTTTCACCTCTTTCTTCCAAAAGTTTGCGTGATTTAGCTCCTGGCTTCCCTTTGACGGTCCTTTTCCTTTGTGAAACAACAAATATCTTAATCTTCGGTGAATGAATTTACTTGCCTGAATATACTGAGCATCCTTTATTGCGGCGCCTAACAATCCAGCCTTCAAACGTACCCGGTTAATGGAAAAATGGTATAAATGAAAAGTTCTTTAGAAACTGCTGCCTAAACGACCCAGAAGAAATTGCACACTGATAGATGGGCGGACGAATGAATGGATGGACGAAATAATCGAAGTATTAATAGAACAGATGGGTGAACTTACGCTTAAGAATTTTTATTTTTTTCAGATATTTTCAGCGTAGCAATAGACCCTCAATTCTCCCTCAGCTCAGTGTCAAATGTTTTAAATTTTGAAATCATTAACGAGTCTACTGAAGAGGCTATAATTCTTCGTTAAAAGAAGGATTCGGTTTACCTTTATTCTTTTTCACTGTGCTTCGATACCACCAGTCGATAAACACTAAATGGGGAGGCAGTCAGATGCTTTGGTGTCAGGGGCTGTGAGAAGTAAGACCGTGCGCCCCACCATCCCAACATAAAGGACGTTTTTCTCGGACATCGAGTGATGCTATGACGTGGCTCAAAACAGTGATACAAAAACAATTGTCGGATATTCGCAACATGCCTCATTTGTTTTCCTCAACTTCGTTCGCACTGCAGTTAGCTGTGTTATTCACGTGACTGCCAGTTATGGCTTCACTGAAGGAAGAAAGACGTTTCATATATTACGACCGGGACAGCTACGGACTTTGAGACATTTTAAGTAATGACTCGGCACTTCGGTCATCAAATACACAGCTTCTCTGAGCGGTCGGTGCAGAAAGGATGTCCTGTTTTCATTGCTCCTGTTGACTTGTGTCCTTTCAGTACATAAGAATGTTTACTGAGCATTTTCTGAAAGACTGCGCCAAATTCTACGCCAACACCTCAGATTTTAAGCACCTTTGCTTCCAAAGATTTAGAACCCGCAACAAATGATATGAAAATCGCTATTCAAACCAGGAATATCAAGTCCCATCTGCAGTCGTTGGTCTGATTTCTCACTTCTAACGGTGAAACGAAAGAAGATCAAAGGAAACTAGCAGCTGATGGGAAAGGGTTTCAGTTTCTTTGGACTTTCGTCCAATTTTAAAACATTTTATATCCAAACTTTAAATTGCTCTTCGCCCAAGCATACAGTGAGTAACAATATCGAAATTGCTCATCAGATAACGCGGCGTTGAAATGTATATCAAGCCGGTGCTTCTAAAACGTCTGGGCAACTCAGTCCCAAATTATAGCTGCGGCGAGTGATTGAGGTTTTTCCTCATCGATGAAACAGAACCAATATCAGTGAACGCAATGGCTTCGAAAGACCATCACTGAGAAACGACTCATCTGCTTGAGACCAAAAATCAGTGAACGGGTCCCACAGCAAATTAGCAGTTAATTTTCATTACTCGTGAAAATATCGAGAGGGTAACTATGGAATGTGAAAGACCGATATCTGTCGTATAGCACTACGGTGACTTATCTTTTGACATGAGGATGAACGGAAGGCTCAGGCGACACTAGGCTGATAATGTCAAAAAAGAGGTAGAACTGGACAACACTGATGCAGTGGACTTTGTTGAAGAACTTCAAAAATGTCGCAAAGCAAAACAGCATATGCAAAGTTCTAAACATAGAATGAAACAGACTAATCGATCAAAATTGAATCGCAACTAAGTAAATATTAGTGTTCAACCGACTTGATCGCGCACGAATGATTTACATTGATTTATTTCTTCCTAAAGTTTCAAAATCACAGACCTTATAGATATTATGAAATAAACCCGATGCCAGTGATCTTCTACACCATCGTGGCAGTGGAGGCAAGAATAACGAGATTTAAAGGTACTAGCATGGCATTCATATACGTAAGAATTAATTACGAAATTAATTTAAGGGGAGGTCGATTTTTTTCGTTTGT